ACTGCCTCCTGCATGCCCCCCCCACTATGGATTGGGCCCACAACCTGGGCATGTGCCCAGACCGGTAATCGAACCGGTGACCTCTTGGTACATGGGTCGACACTCAACCAGTGAGCCACACTGGCCGAGCTTAATATGATTTTTTTTTTTTCCTGTAAAATCACTTTATTTTCTGTTACATAAACATCTTTCTTAGGTAATTTTACCAGAACAACCTGTTTATGGGGTATTAGAGTTCGGGGTAAATTTTCTTTTTAAATTTATCTCTATTATACAGAGTTGTGATATAAAAACAAGCTATATCAGCTATAGTTTTCAGAAAGCAGTTAGCTAGATAAATCCTGCTGAAGAAACTTTTCTATTTAAATCTACAATATGGCATAAAAAGACATAATTTTAAAAATCTTCTCATCAAAAAGCTTGAGATCATCAAAGGAATGTTTATTGTCCTCCACAGAGGGCCTCTAGGATTTTCTCATAATCTTCTTTGGTTTTATCCAGGATGGCTTGGCAGAGAGAGACACCATACAGCTTCTGGTAATATGCTTTGATATCATTCATGTCGATTTCAGAGCGGGAAACCATAACCCTGATCAGTGTCTTATGATGTGTTCCGACACCCTTCATGGCCTGATGAAGCTTCTCAGCAAAGAACATTGGTTTGCTTGTGGCACACTTCACAGTAGTTGTGTCACCCTTCATCTCCAGGTCCAGAACTTTGTTCATGTCATGCTGACTGTATTTGGTATGCTTCTGAAACACTCTTCGAAGATGGGGATAGCTTCAGGTGGTAAGAATGGTAGTGAACACGTTCACATCCGTCCCTTTTCTCTTTTCTCCTGCTTCATATAGTGCCCTGGCATCTGAATCAGCCATGTCCTCATTTATACCAAGATTCTCAGCCCGATCACCCTTAAGCATAGAAAGCAAAGCCTTCCGATAATCTCCAGAGGTTTCTGAGACGATGTCTTTAGCCAGATCCCTCTTCAATTCTTCTCTATAGACTCGGTCAATTTCTCTGATTTCTCTCTTAGTTCTTGATGCCAAAATTTCATTCAGAGTGTCTTCATCAGTACCAAGGCCCTTCATGGCACCTCAGAGTTCATCAGCATCAAACTGGGCTGGAGTTTTTAATAGAGCCAAAACAACTTCCTTGAGGTGACCTGTGAGGGCTTTCTTCAGAGCTTCATCCAAGGGCTTTCCTTTTTCCTGGAGATATGCTGCTTTGATCTGTTGACGCTGTGCATTGGTTCTCTTAGAATGTCAATGATGGTTGCTTCATCTACACCTTTAACTGTTATTGCTTTATGCAAGGCAGCAACATCCGAGGATGGATTGAAGGTGGGATAGGAGCTCACTGCTGACCCAGGACCACCTTTGTATCCTTTCACGATTTGAACGTATTCCTGCTCTTCATTGTCGATAAACCAGGTCTGCTTGAGGAATTCTGATACCATTGCCATTTTTAAAGAAGTTTCTTTGTTTTCACCTTCCTGAAAATAACTAATGAGAGATTCCCCTCTGAAAGCTTCACACTAGAACTCTTAATATGATTTTTTTTTAAATCGTTTTTTTTTTCCTCACTTGACATTTTTCCATTTTTTGTTCAGATAGAGTGGGAGGGAGAGAGAGGGGGAGAGAGAGAGAGAGAGAGAGAGAGAGAGAGAGAGAGAGAGAGAGATCGACGTGAAAGAGACACATCGAGTGGCTGTCTCCTGCACGACCCAGCCAGGGCTGGGGACAAACTGCAACCAAGATATGTGCCCTTAGTGGGAATCGAACCTGGGTCTCTCTGGACCGCAGGCCGACGCTCTAACCGCTGAGCCAAACTGGCCAGGGCCTTAATATGGTTTTTAATACGGGTAAGTTTGAATCTATTATATTGCTGTATATTTGCTATTCACTCCAGTTTACCTGTTTCCCTCTTTTTCTGCCTTTCTTTGGAGTAATTGAATATATTAATGATTTTATTTCCTTGTTGACTTATTAGCTATAACTCTTTGTTTTGTTATCTAGTTTGTTTAGCTATATTAGGGATGATAGTAAACGTGTAACTTGTCACAGTCTACCTTCACATGATACTATATGACTCTGCGTGTAGTATAAGAACTTTACAATAGTATATTCCTGTGTCTTCCCTTCCAGCCTTTAGGCTATTGTTGTCATGCCTTTTACTTTTACGTTTATTATGACACCCTCAATACACTATTTTTTTTAATTAAAATTTTTATTTTTAAATTACAGTTGACATTCAATATTATATTAGTTTCAAGTATACAGCATAGTGATTAGACATTTATATAGCCTACAAAGTGATCCACCTGATGAGTGTAGTATCAACCTGGCACCATAGTTATTACAATATTATTGACTTTATTCCCTATGCTGCACTTGACATCCCCATGACTATTTATGTTATTTTTTTATCCTCACCCGAGGACATTTTTCCATCCTTTGTACAGACAGAGTGGGAGGGAGAGAGAGGAAGAGAGAGAGAGGGAAACATTGATGTGAAAGGGACACATCGAGTGGCTGCCACCCGCACGACCAACCAGGGCCGGGGACAAACTGCAACCAAGGTACATGCCCTTAGCGGGAACCAAACCCGGGTCTCTCCGGACCGCAGGCGGACGCTCTAACCGCTGAGCCAAACCGGCCAGGGCCCCATGACTATTTTGTAACACGATTTGTACTTCTTAATCCCTTCACCTTTTTCACCCAGTGCCCCAATCCCTTTCCCATCTGGCAACCATTAGTTGTCCTCTGTATCCCTGAATCTATTTTTGTTTTATTTGTTTATTTTGTTCTTTAGATTCCACATAACAGCGAAATCATTTGTCTTTCTCTAACTTATTTCACTTAGTGTGATAACCTCTAGGTCCATCCATGTTGTTGAAAATGGTAAGATTCTATTCTTTTTTATGGCCAAGTAATATTCTATTGTATATATGTGATACATATTCTTTTTTTTTAAATTTATTTTTTATTGATTAATTTTTGTTACAGATGATTCTCCTTTTTTCCCCCATTGAATCCCCCCTCCCCCTCCCCTCCCTGCCCCTTCCCCAGATTGTTGTCCAGATACATATTCTTTATCCAATCATTTACTGATGGATACTTAGGCTGTTCCCATATCCTTGCAATTGTAAATAACTGTAATGAACATAGGGGTGCATATATCTTTTGACACTGTAATCAATTCTGTTTGGGTAGGCCAGTCAGCAGCACTTCCAGCAGGAGGAACAGGTCCTTTAGTCCTGAAGGAGAAATCTGGGCAACACCATACATCTTCCATGTCATGAGCTGGACTGGAAAAATCAGACTGAAAAAGTTGTGTTGGAAAATTATTTAACACATTGTTGTAGTCTCTTTGGGCTGTTAAAACAAATTATCAGAGACTGGGCGGCTTAAACAACACAATTTGTTTTTCAAAGTTCTGGAGGCTGGAAGTCTGAAATCAGGGTGCCAGCATGGTCAGCACCATCTCAAATGCCAAGAGATTGTCTGTGGTAATGGAGGAAGTGTTGTCAGCTTCTCCCAACTTCCAGGGGACCCCCATTTCTTCTTTAATAGAAAACATGAAGCAGAGGACATGGGCTACTGCATATACAGCACTGTATTTACAGGGATGGACAAAATAGGTTTACAGTTGTAATACAAATAAATAATATAATAATACAAGAATAAACTTTCACATACTTACAACTATAAACCAACTTTTGCTCTCCCCTGTAGAGAAAAAGTATGAAAGATATACAGGGAGAGAGAATACATCATGGTTTTTCTCAATGATACTAAAATAAAAATATGTATTTAGTTTATCAATAAATATTTTATTTTGTTAGATTATTACATTTTATTATATATTATATATTTTTCTTTTTTTGTTAATCCTCAGCCGAGGATATTTCTCCATTGATTTTTAGAGAGAGTGGAAGGGATGGGAGGAGGGGGAGAGGGGGAGAGAAAGAGAAACACCAATGTGAGAGAGACACATCTATTGGTTGCCTCCTGCACGCACCCCCACCGGGGCCAGGGATCAAACCTACAACCCAAGTACTGTCCTTGACTGGGAATCAAACCCAAGACCCTTTGTTGTGTAGGCCAACACTCTAACCATTAAGCCACACCGGCCAGGGCTATATATTATGTTTAATTATCATATCGTATTAAAAATATATTAATCTATAATATATTAATCTACCAATTATAGTTTTATTGCTTTAATAGACAACACAAATTAATATATTAATATAAATCAATATATTAATATTATCATTAAAACAATTTACCAACATGGACTATATATTTTTATAATTTTAAAATAAATAATAATAATTATTATTTTAATAGCAAATCTTTATGTGTCAGGCATCATGCTAAATATATTGCGTTTTGCCCTGGCTGGTGTGGCTCTGTTGGTTGGAGCTGGCCCCTACACCTAAAGGGTGGAGGGTTCCATTCCCGTCAGGGCACATGCCCAAGTTGCAGGTTTGATCACATCCATGTTTATCTCTTTCTCTCGAAAATAAATTTAAACAAACAGATAAATAAATATATTGTGTTTCTTATTTACCTGGGGCCTGTGGATATGCGCAGCCGCAGGCGTGGGTATCGCTGCTCGGGAGAGGGCGCTGTGACTCAATTCATTGCTCCCAGAGGGACCGAAACCCAGTACCTTGCCCGAGCCTCTGGGACTTGTAGTGTGTGGCTGTGTGGTGCACAGGCGCAGTGCCTGGGCGCGCGTAACTGGATGGCGGTGGCGGCGGTGGTGTGAGTTAACTTGGGGGTTGGATGCGTCGCGGGGGGGGGGGGGGGGTGTCCACCGGGGCCATGGAGGGGCGGAGTAGTGAGGGGTACCGAGAACAGACTGCACGGAGCACCTTCGCTGCGGCAGGACCCGCGGGACCCGGTGGCGCCCCATTGCTGGGCTGTTAGAGCCACCTGCGCCTACACCTGGGGCCGCAGGGGCCGGGACACCGCGTCCCAGCGACGCAGCCTTTAACTGGCGCCGGGCGATTCGGAGCCCTATCCTGGTTCCGCGCAGATCGTTTGGTGAGCAGGGGCAGGAGGGGTGACCTTGGGTGCCTCCCTCTATGGTTTACGCCACTTGTCACTCTGGAGGCGACAGAGAGGAGAGTCAGAGTGGCCGGGCAGCTTGTCCAAGGCCGCCTAGCACCCAGAATGGCAAGGTCTGGCCTTTACCCTGAGAAAAAAACCCTGAGTGACAGACCCGTGGGGGCAAATTGTTATGAAGTGAGTGAAGTTCCCAGAGGTCGAATATTAAAGGGAAGTGCAGGAAACCCATTTTACTCTTAAAGGCAGAGAGCGACTGGGATGCCCACACTTTCAAAGGTAGACTCTAGACTCTCTCCAGCTACTTCTTGGGCGAGACCAGGTGTTTGCAAGTGAGGATGACCTTTAATCTCAAGGGACACTGGGTCATGTCTGGGGACATCTATGGTTGTTATAACTGGGGGGTGTTCCTGGCGTTGAATGAATGGGGATCAGGGATGCTGTTCCAACACCCCACACTCTCCAGGAGAGCCCCTCTCCCCCAAGAGTGATGTGGCTCCAAATGTCCACATTGCTTAGGGGAGACCCTGCTTTGTACCTCAGCATTGTGATTCTAGTGATATCTAGGATCCACTTCATTTATGTCTGTATACCCCTGGAATGAGGAAGCAGCTGACCATTCAAGATGACACAGAGCTCACTAACCTCTCCCCTGTGAGGAAGTCCTCATTGGGCCTTTCTTGGGGGAAAAGGGTGAGTTTTGGTGGTTTGAACACTGAAAGGGAAGGTTATGAGCACCCCGCTGGGTGGTTTAGTTATTTGGAGCATTGTTCCCTGCACCAAAGAGGTTTGGGTTTGCTGTCAGGGCACATACTTAAGTTACAGGTTCGATCCTGGTCGATCCCAGTGTTTCTCTTTCTCTTCCCCTTCCTCTCTCTAAAAGCAATAAAACATTTTCTCGGGTGAGGATTTTAAAAAATGTGGGATTAGATTCCCCTTGGAAAGAAGGAAGGAAGGAAGGGAAGGAGGGAGGGAGGGAGGGAGGGAGGGAGGGAAAGAAAGAAAGAAACGGAAAAGAGGTCCTGAGCCAGGCGCCACAGGCTTAGGTGAATGAGGGACGCAGAGGGGATCACTGACATCAACCACGAGGGAGGGGGTTCCAATGAACCATGCTAGAGTGAGAGAGAGTTGGTCTGGAAATGCTAGGAAGGGGCTGGAGGTCTTGGACCCATTGTCATGAACTGCAATTTAAAGTCTCAAGAGCAAAGAGGAAACCCCATGCAGTTTGGGAGCAGGGTTGTAAATCCCTCCAATCCCAGCATCAAAGAATCCCCTGCATTAAGTCCCTTGACAACAAGGCTAAGGGGAGGGCAAGAAGCTGCGTCTTTACTTGCCTTTGGTGTTTGTGTGGCTTTCCTGGAGCAGCTGGAACAAAGCACTGTAGACTGGGCAGTGTAAGACAGACATATTTATTCTTATATTCTGAAGACCAGAAGTTGGAGATCAAGGTGTCAGCAGGGCTGGTGTCCTCTGAGGCTTCTCTCCTTGCCTTACAGATGGCCACTTTCTTTCTGTTTTCATATGGTTGGCCCTCTGCATATTTATGACCTAATCTTTTTATAAGGACACCATTCATATTGGATTAGAGACCACCTCAATGGCCTCATTTTACCTTAATTATCCCTTTTAAGACCCCATCTCCAAATATAGCCACATTCTGATGTCCTGGGAGTCAGGGTTTCAACATGTGAGTTTTGCAGGGAGCACAATTTAGTCCATAACAACAGATATACTGTATATGTACTGCTTATGTACTGTATGTACCTATGTGTTTTATACTTAAAAAGAACAAGTTATTTTTCCCTTTTTTCTACCCCCAAGAACCCATTTACAGCACCTTATGGGTGATAGCACCCCACTGGTAATGCATCCCCAAATGTTAATTTTTAAAAATTCCCATTCCTTTGCTCCCCCTTCTCCTTTGGCATCCACCAGCTTGTCTATATCTATGGGTCTGTTTCTGTTTTGTTTTGTTTACTCACTTGCTTTTTTTTTGGAGTCCACATGTAAGTGAAATCATATAGCATTTGTCTTTCTCTGACTTATTTTACTTAGCATAATACCATCTAGGTCCATTCATATTGTCACAAATGGCAAGATTTTGTTCTCTTTTTCTTTTAATCCTCACCCAAGGACATTTTTTCCATTTTTTGTTCAGGTAGAGTGGGAGGGAGAGAGAAATAGACAAACATTTACATGAAAGGGACACATTGAGTGGTTGCCACCCGCATGACCCATCCAGGGCCGGGGACAAACTGCAACAAGGTACGCGCCCTTAGCGGGAACCGAACCTGGGTCTCTCTGGACCACAGGCCGATGCTCTAACTGCTGAGCTGAACCGGCCAGGGATATTTTTTATGGCAGAATAATATTCTATTGTATATATGTACCACATCTTCTTTATCTAATTGGTTTATTGATGGACACCTAGGTTGCTACCATATCTTGGTTATTGTAAATAATGCTGCATTGAACATAGGGATTCATATATCTTTATACACACACACACATATACTTAAAATTTTCTTTATTGATTTTAGAGAGAGAGGAAGGGAGAGAGAAAGAAAGAGAGAAACAATGATGAGAGAGAACATCGATTGGCTGCCTCCTGCATGACCCCCACTGGAGATTTGGCCCACAACCTGGGCATGACCCCCACTGGAGATTTGGCCCACAACCTGGGCATGTGCCCTACCCAGAAATTGAACTGGTGATTTCTTGGTGCATGGGTCGACACTCAATCACTGAACCACACCAGCCAGGCCATCTTTTTTTTTTTATCCTCACCCGAGGACATTTTTCGATATTTTGTTCAGATAGAGTGGGAGGGAGAGAGAGAGAGAAACATCGACATGAAAGGGACACATTGAGTGGTTGCCACCCGCGCGACCCAACCAGGGCTGGGGACAAACTGCAACCGAGGTACGTGCCCTTAGCGGGAACCGAACCCGGGTCTCTCCGGACCGCAGGCTGACGCTCTAACCACTGAGCAAAACCGGCCAGGGCAAGGCCATCTCTTTGAACTAGTGTTTTGGGTTTCTTTGGATAAATACCCAGAAGTCGGGTTGCTGGGTCCTATGGTAGTTTCTATTTTTAATTTTTGAGGAATCTTCATACTGTTTTCCATGGTGGCTGCATCAGTTTGCAATTCTACCAACAGTGCACGAGGGTTCCCTTTTCTTGACATCTTCACCAACGTTTGTTGTTTGTTGACTTATTGATGATAAGTGAGATCTCATTGTAGTTTTGATTTGTATTTCCCTGATGATTAGTGACATTGAACACGTTTTCATATATCTGTTGGCCATATGTCTGTTGAATATTTATCAAAACTAAGACATTAACTAGAGTGGTGGTTACCAGGGCCTGGAGGTAAGGGAGTGGGGAATTGTCAATTAACAGGCACAAAGTGTCAGTGAATAAGCCCCAGAGATGTGCTGGACAACATTGTACCTATAGTCAGCAGTAATATATTATCCACTTACAATTGTTATGAGGATAGATCTCATTGTACATGTTCTTACCATGATAAAATTAAAATAAACTAAGACATTAACTTGGGTTCTCTGTACTATTAGCTAGACTACAAACTTCATTCAGATTTCACCCGATTTTCTATTCATGTCCTTTTTCTGGTCCAGGACCCCATCCAGGATCCCATGTAACATTTAGTAGTCATATCTCCTTGGGCTTCTCCAACCTGGATGGTGTCTTTGTCTTTCCTTGTCTTTCATGACCTTGACACATTTGAAGAGCAGTGGCCAGGCATTTTGTAGAATGCCCCTCAAGTTGAGTTTGATGTTTTCTTATGATTACCCTGAGGTTCTGGGTTCTGGGGAAGATACCACAGAGGTGAGGTGTCCTCCTGTTCATGGCACATAGGGATACCTGAGGCCCTCACAACATCCCTGGTGATATTAACCTTGATTACCTGGAGAGAGTGGGGCCTGTCAGGAGTCTCCACTGTGAAGTTAATCTTTTCCCCTTTATCTGCACTGTTCACTGGGAGCCAGTCATTGAGTCTATCCACCCTGAAGGGGAGGGAGGTTAGGTCCACTTCCTGGAGAAAGTATGTTGAAGAATTTTTAGACATATCTTCAAACCATGGCAGTAATTAATAAATATTGGGAGTATGACTTTGAGCTTTGCAGATGTCCTGCTTCTCTTTGGAATCTCACCAGTCATGAAGCTCACATCCATGAGTCTTGTCTGCAGGAATTCTTGCTAGGGTGTTCCCATGGTGATTAGCTGTTTCTGAGTGGATGACTTTTGAAGGTTTCATCTGTGAATACAGATCACACCCATGGGAGGTGTTCAGTACAAAGCCTCTGTGTGAGTCTGTGTGAGGGTTTGCCATCTACAAGGGACTTCACAGCCAAGGCATCATGGAGAGCAGGCAGGTAGCACAAAGCAGGACTGTCTTGGGGTTTTGTCAAAGAGAAGCAGAGCTAGACAGTCATCAGAGCAGTAGAAACAGATTCAAATCAGAAACTGATGCAATGGGGAGAAGAAAACTTAGTGCAGATCTGGGCCCAACTCCAAGTACAGTGTGAAAAGGGGGGACCTATAGCCAAGGAGCTGGTGGGGTCAGTGGATGGAAAATTGCTAAGAGGAAATATTAGGGAGATTCTGGCTACACCAGCTAACAGGATTCCTGCTGCAGATGAGGTGATCCAACATTGCCTGGGTGTGGGGAGGTAAAGAACCTTATTAGGTATTAAAAGTGATCAGATATGGAGGATGGAGGGATTATCAATTAACCACCATAGCAGAATTCTTCCTAAAATTGTATCTGACTCAAATCTGCTCAAGGAGAGAGACCAGTCACTGAGCAGAGGTGCCAGAATCAGCTCTTTTCCTGAAAGGAAGCGAATTCTGCGGGTATGTGGGAGCTTCGAATTTCCCACAGGCTTTCAGGGCCACGTGTTCCCATTTCTCTTAAGTAACATCTGGATGCTGCCTGCTCTAGGGCCAGAGCAGTTTGGCAGAAGATAGTCCAGTGGAAATGAGGGGACAGCCAGGAAGGGAGAGAGGAATCTGAGACATGCAAGGGGTAGGGGCATCTGTGAGGGTCAGAATGGAGCTTTCCAGAATGTGTGTTCCCCCAAGTTCACATCCACCCAGAACTTCAGAGTGTGACTGTCCAGTTGACTCTTGAACAACACAGGTTTGAACTGTGTGGGTCCACTTATACATGGGATTTTAAAAATAATTATGCACAGTACTGTTAATGTTTGTTTTTAATCCTCACCTGAGGATATTCTTCCATTTATCTTCAGATAGAGTGGGAGGGAGGTAGGGAGGGAAGGAGGGAGGGGGGGAGAGAGAGAGAGAGAGAGAGAGAGAGAGAGAGAGAGACATCAATTGATTGCCTCCTACATGACCCCGACCAGGGCCAGGGACCAAACTGCAGTTGAGGTACATGCCCTGGACCAGAATCGAACCCACAACTCTTTGGTCTGAGGGCCTATGCTCTAACCACTGAGCAAACTGGCCAGGGCTGTAAATGTATTTTTCTTATGATTTTTTTAACATTTTATTTTCTGTAGCTTATTTTATTGTGAGAATACAGTACAGAATACATATAACATACAAAATATGTGCTAATTTACTTAATTGGTAAGGCTTCCAGTCAACAGTGGGCTATTAGTTGTTAAGTTTTGGGGGAGTCAAATGTTATACGCTGATTTTTGACTGTGTGCAGAGTCAGGGAAACTTCTGGGGTTTAAAGACAGGCCTGGATCTGGTCTTCACCATATCTTTCCCCTCCTGAAGCTCTGTCTGCCCAGAAACCTGCATGTTGCCAAGAAGAGAGGATGGCTGCTGGGTGCCTGCCCCTTTGGCCCCAGGTGAGTGGAAACGTCCTCCTGCCCTAAAAGGCATCCAGTGTGTCTGGAGAGAACATATAAACCAGAATTAATTTCCTTCTTAGAGAAGGGATTACCCCTGCTTTATGGGAAAGGAGGGAGAATTCCCATGAGTGTCTGAGACCAGGTGCTCATGCTTCTTGTAAGCGCAAGGAGTGATGTGAACTATATCCAGTGTGCCCTCCCCTGCAAGAGACCTGTGCTTCATTCCTAGGGCTGGGAGCATCTCTGAGACTTAGGCGTCTGGCACCTTTTCCTATAGAGCAGGGAAGGCTGTCCAGGAAAGTACCATTCTCTTTACTTAAAATCATTTTTAATTGTGGTAAAATACATATAAATACAATTCACCATTTTAACCATTGTTAAATGCATAGCTCAGTGGCATTAAGCATGTTCACATTGTTGTGTAGCCATCACCACCATCCATGTCCAAAACTTTCTCATCTTCCCAAACTGAAAATCTGTCCCCATTAAATGCTGGCTCCCCCTCCCCACTCCTAGGCCTTGTTACCTACCATTCTACTTTCTATCTCTATGGATCTGACTTCTTTAGGGACTGCCTATGAGTGGAATCACACAGTATTTATCCTTTTGTGTCTGGCTTATTTCACTCAGCATAATGTCCTCAAGGTTCATCTACATCGTAATAGGTATCAGAATGTCCTTCCCTTTTGAAAAAAAATTTAGATATTGATTTGAGAGAGAGAGAGAGAGAGAGAGAGAGAGACATCGATTTGCTGTTCTACCCATTTATGCATTCATTAGTTGAATCTTGTATGTTCCCTGACCAGGGATCAAACCCAGAATCTTGGCGTATCAGGACGATGCTCTAATCACCTGAGCTACCAGGCCAGGGCCTCAGAATGTCCCCCTTTTTAAGGCTGAATAAGCCTTCTGAAGGCTGGGGACAGCTGTGATTAATAGTAAAACTGCCTTACTAAGGTGTGTTTACCATAAGGGTGAGGGGAATAACAGCTTTCAGACAGTTGGGACATCAGATCTGTCAGGAGTGGGTGGACAGGGTCCCCTCCCTTCCCTTGCAGCTCTGGGCAGCAGCCACAAGTTCAGGAACGCAATCGGTTTTCCCATTAGAAATACAGAGCTGTCAGAGGGGAGGGAACTGGGGGGGCTGGTGAAAAAGGTAAAGGGATTAAGCAAAACCCCCCAAAAAACAAAAAGCAACAACTCATAGATACAAACAACAGTATGGTGATTACCAGAGGGAAATAAGTGAGGAGGGAGCTAGAAGAGGGTGAAGGGGGGGTAAATGGTGATGGAGGGAGACTTGACATGCGGTGGTGAGTACACAATATAATACTATACAGATGACGTATTATAGGATTGTACTCCTGAAACCTATATAATTTTATTAACCATGTCATCCCAATAAATTCATTAAAAGAAAAAAATGGCTGGTGTTGCTTAATGGTTAGAGCGTTGGCCTGAGCACTGCAGGGTTGCAGGTCCGATTCCCAGTCAAGGGCACATACTCGGGCTGCAGGTTTGATCACCGGCCCTGGTCAGGGTGCATGCAGGAGGCAACCAATCGATGTGTCTTTCTCAGATGTATCTCTCTCCCTCTCCCCCTCCCTCCTACTCTCTCTAAAAATCAATGGAAAAAATATCCTTGGGTGATTAACAACAACAACAACAAAAAGTAAAGAAAAAAAATACTGAGCTGATCAAAAGCTGGGTTTTAGGTGGTCCCCTTGGAGAACAAGCCCTTCCCTGAGAATATTTGTAAGTGACCCAGATTATCCAGCCAGCATCCATGACGTAGTCATAGTTAGGGCCACCTGGAGAGCTGTCCTAGATCTGCACTGTCCCTAAATAAAAATCCTGGTCATCGTGCCTGTACCTGCTGTCAGGTCAGCCTGTCCCATGAGGCTGAAGAAATCCACGGGACACAGTCAGGTTCTAGCTCGGAGCTGGTGCAGGCAGTGAGGCTCTGTGAAATCAGAATTCCCAACAGAGCCCATGCATGTCTTTCAGCAGCAGCAGAGAGGCTTGCAAAGCCAGACAGTGGGCACTTCTTATCTGTCTCGGGGTCCACATGGAGCCACTCAGACAGACACAGGAAATGCACCTCTTCACATCACACATCTGAATTCACAGGAGTCCACTTGCAGCTCAAATCTGTGTCTTTAAAACTCCAAACAGGTTTCTCCATCCAGAGACTGTTTTGTTATATTGTTGTCTGAGACTCTGATAGGTATGAATCATAGTAAAATCATGACTGATAGAGACTCATTTTGTTTTAATACAGGATGTTCCAAAAAATGTATACATACTTTAACAGCTGATAACTCAATTTTCACTCCTTTTCAGGTTTACCTGATTTGAAAAAATGGGTGAAGCTAGACTAAGCTTTGAACAAAGAAAATCCATCCACTAGACTTAAAAAAATTTTTTTAATGTTTTTATTGATGTTATAAGAGAGAGGGAGGAAGAGAGAGAGAGAAACATCGATGTGAGAGAAACATCAATCAGCTGCCTCCTGCATACCCCCTTCTGGAGATCCAGCCGGCAACCTGGGCATGTGCTCTGACTGGGAATCAAACCGGGACCTCTCAGTCCATGGGATGATGCTCAATCCACTGAGCCACACCAGCTGGGCTATCCACTAGATTTTTTTTTTTAAATCCCCACCGGAGGATATTTTCCATTTATCTTCAGATAGAGTGGGTGGGAGGGAGGGAGAGAGACAGAGAAAGAGAAACATCAATGTGAGAGAGAGACATTGATTGGCTGCCTCCCGCATGACGCCTACCACGGGGACAGAACCACAAATGAGCTACGTGCCCTTAACTGGAATCCAACCTTGGTCCGCGGACTGACACTCTAACCGCTGAGCCAAACCAGCCAGGACATATCCACTAGACTTTTTTGTGGGGATACATAAAAAATCGAGTTTTATAGTATGAAACCAGCAATAGTCGAAGAATTGAGGGCGGCTATTGAAAGAAAACGCACACAAATATTGAACACAATGATTCTTGATGTTTGTGATTCTTTGCTTCCCGTTATCAGCAGTGCCTGGACCAGACAGACATCAGTTTGAAAACAAGCGTTGACAAAACAATTAAACAATGTCTGTAGATTCTATTACATTTTGAAAAATAAATGTATTTTAATAAACAGTGGCTTTGTAATTATTCAAAGTGTGTATACATTTTTAGGGGACACCCTATATTTAAAGTGTTTACATTTTGCCCTGGCCGGTTTGGCTCAGCGGTTAGAGCATTGGCCTGCGGTCCAGAGAGTCCCGGGTTCTTGAGCAGAACTGATGTGATCTTTTAGGAGTTGGTGACCTTCCAGGATGTAGCCATGGACTTCTCCCAGGAGGAATGGGAGCTGCTGGATGGTACTCAGAGGAAGCTCTACGGAGAGGTGATGCTGGAGACCTATAGGAACCTGGCCTCACTGGGTAAGGACAGTGTTGTTCATTCCCGTGCTGAGCAGGTCACACTTATTTAGCATCTACTGTGTGTCAAGAGCTATGTTAGGAAGAGTGGATTTATTGCTGAATAAGACAGCTATGTTTCTGCCTATGTGGGGTTCATGGTCTGTAGGTTTCTCCAACACAATAACCTGATTTCTTCAGTACAGTAAGTCATCAATAGGTTTTTGGAACTGTGGCAGAATGACAAAACCAATTTTACATAGGCTAATTGATGTAAACAAAAGTTAAGTTCCTAAGGCACCTCATCAACATTATGAGGACCTGCTGTATATTATAGCCAGAGCTGCTGATGAAATGCATATCTTAGCTTAGGCACTGATAATGTCCCTGATTCCTCTTGAGTACAGAGTCAAGGTGTTTGTACTTTTTGTGCCCAGGTGAAGAGCCGTAAATTTAAAAAAAAAATTTTTTATGGTAAAATAGGTGTAATATAAAATGTGCCTTTTTAATCATTGTTTTATTTAAAATATTTTTTTCCTTTATTGATTTTAGAGAGGAAGGGAGGGGGATAGAGAGATAGAAACAACTGATGACCATTTCTGGGTCATGGGGCAGTTCCATTCTTAAATTTTTGAGTTACCTCTGTACTGCTTTCCATAGTGGCTAGACCAATCTGCATTCCCACCAACAGTACACAAGGGTTCCCCTTTCTCCACATTCTTGCCAACACTTGTTGTATGTTGATTTACTGATGATAGCCATTTTGACAGATGTGAGATCATATCTCATTGTAGTTTTAATTTGCATTTCTCTGGTGATTAGTGTCATTGAGCATCTTTTCATATGTCTGTTGGCTATCTGTATGTCCTTTTTGGAGAAGTGTCTATTCAGGTCCTTTGCCCATTTATTTTTATTTTTATTTATTATTATTATTATTTTTAAATTCTCACCCAAGGATATTTTTCTATTGATTTCTAGACAGAGTGGAAAAGAGGGAGGTGGAGAGAGAGAGAGAGAGAGAGAGAGAGAGAGAGAGAGAGAGAGAGAAAGAAAGAGTGATGTGTGAAAGACATTAATTGGTTACCTCCTGCACAACCCTGACTGGGGCCGGGGATTGAACCTGCAACACAGGTACATGCCCCTGACCTGAATTTGAACCATGACCCTTCAGTACACAGGCTGACACTCACTGCTAAGCCAAACCAGCCAGGGCTTGTCCTTTGCCCATTTTTAATTGGATTGTTTAGGGGTTTTTATTGGTGTTTTGTAAGTTCTTTTTTAAAAAAATATGTTTTTAGCCCTTGCCGGTTGCTCAGTGGTTCGAGCATCAGCCTGCGGACCAGAGAGGCCTGGGTTTGGTTCCCACTAAGGGCACGTACCTCAGTTGCAGTTTGTCCCCGGCCCCGGTTGGGGTTGTGTGGGTGGCAACCACTCGATGTGTCTCTCTCGCATTGATGTTTCTTTCTCTCTCTTCCTTCCTCTCTCCCTCCCACTCTATCTCAAGATTAATGCAAAAAAAAAAAAAAAATGTCCTCAGGTAAGGATAAAAAAAAATGTTTTTATTGATTTCAGAGAGAGGAAGGGAGAGGGAGAGAGAGATAGAAACATCAATGAGAGAGAAACACTAATCAGCTGCCATCTGCATGCCCCCTACTGGGAATTGAGTCTGAAACCTGGGCATGTGACCTGACTGGGAACTGAACCGGTAACCTCCTGGTGCATGGGATGATGCTCAACCAACTGAGCCACACTGGTCAGACAGTTTTAGACGTTCTTTATAAACTTTGGATACTAGCTCCTTATCAGATGTATTGACGAATATGTTCTCCCATTCAGTGAGTTGTCTTTTCATTTTGTTAATGGTTTCCTTTACTGTGCAAAAACTTTAGCATGATGTAGTCCCATTTGTTTGTTTTCTTTTGTTTCTCTTGCCTGAGGAGATATGTCAGAAAAAATATTACTGTAAGAAATGTCCAAAGTTTTACTGCCTGTATTTTCTTGTAGGATTTTTATGGTTTTGAGTCTAATTTATGTCTTTAATCCATTTTGAGTTTATTCTTGTGTGCAGTTTAAGAAGGTAGTTTAATTTCATTTTTTTGCACGTATCTGTCCTATTGTATGTTTTTGCCTTCTTTGTTGAATATTAATTGACAATTAAGACATGAGTTTATTTCTGGGCTCTCTATTTTGTTCCATTGATCTATATGTCTTTTTATGCCAGTACCATGCTGTTGTTGTTGTTTTTAATTATTTTTCCTTTATTGATTTCAGAGAGAGAGGAAGGGAGAGGGAGAAAGAGATAGAAACATCTATGAGACAGAACACTGATTGGCCATCTTCTACATGTCCTCCCCTGGGGATCAGGCCCACAATCTGGGCATGTGCCCTGACTGGGAATTGAAGTGGCAACCTCTTAGTGCATGGGTCGATGCTCAACCACTGAACCACACCAGCCAGGCAGTACCCATGCTGTTTTGATTACTATGGCCTTGTGGTTTATAGTTTGATATCAGGTAGTGTGATTCCCATAACTTTGTTCTTTCTCAAGATCACTGTTGCTATTTGGAGTCTTTTATGGTTCGAAATACATTTTTGGCATATTTGTTCTAGTTCTATGAAATACATCATTAGTATCTTGATAGGAATTGCGTTGAATCTGTAGATTGCTTTGGGTAGTATGGACATTATAATGATGTGAATTCTTTCTATCGAACACGGTATATAATGGACACTATATATGTTTCCACTTATTTGTATCTTCTTCAGTTTCTTTCTAAAGTATCTTACAATTTTCTGAGTATAGGTCTTTTACATACTTGGTTAAATTTATTCTTAGGTATTTTATTCTTTTTGAAGCAACTGTAAATAGGATTTTTTTTTTTTTAGTTTCCCTTTCTGATAGTTTATTATTGGTATATAAAAATGCAACTGATTTCTGGATATTCTTGCTACTTTACATACCTATCAATAATTACTTTAAATGTAATTGGTTTAAATGCTCCAATCAACAGACATAAGGTAGCTGAATAGATAAGAAAAAAGACCCATATATATACTGTCTTCAAGAGACCCACCTCAGAACAAAAGATGCACGCACACTAAAAATAAAAGGATGGAAAAATATATTTAATGCAAATGGAAGGGAAAAAAATACTGGGGTAGCAATACTTATATCTGACAAAATGGGCTTTAAAACGAAGGCTATAGTAAGAGATAAAGAAGGATACTACATAATGATAAAGGCAGCAATTCAACAGGAGGACATAAATCTTGTAAATATTTATGTACCTAACATAGGAGTCCCTAAATATGTAAAGCAAATCTTGATGGACATAAAAGGAGAGATCGACAGTAATACAGTCATAGGGGAATTTTAATAATCCATTGACATTTAATCTTCTTCTTTTTTTTTTTTTTTATCCTCACCCGAGGGTATTTTTCCATTTTTTGTACAGATAGAGTGGGAGGGAGAGAGAGGAAGGGAGAGAGAGTGAGAAACATCGATGTGAAGGGACACATCGAGTGGCTGCCACCCGCACGACCAACCAGGGCCGGGGACAAACTGCAACCAAAGTACGTGCCCTTAACGGGAACCGAACACGGGTCTCTCCGGACCGCAGGCCGACGCTCTAACTGCTGAGCCAAACTGGCCAGGGCTAATCTTCTTTTAATTTAATTTAATTTTATTTTATTATTATTATTATTTTATCCTCACCCGAGGACATTTTTCCATTTTTTGTACAGATAGAGTGTGGGGGGGGGGGAGAGAGGAAGAGAGAGAGAGAGAGAGAAACATCGATGTGAAAGGGACACATCGAGTGGCTGCCACCCGCACGACCAACCAGGGCCGAGGACAAACTGCAATCGAGGTACATGCCCTTAGCGGGAACCGAACCAGGGTCTCTCCGGACCGCAGCCCAACGCTCTAACCGCTGAGCCAAACTGGCCAGGGCTAATCTTCTTTTTAAAAAACAATTTTTTCTTTATTGATTTTATTTTTAAAAAATTTGGGGGGGGGTGTTTTATTTACTTATTTATTTTTATTTTATTTTTGTTACAGATGTTTCTCCTTTTTTACCCCATTGACACCCTTCTCCCCATCCCCCCGACCCCATCCCCAGCTTTGTTGTCCATGTCCATTGGTTACGCATACATGCATATAAGTTCTGTGGTTTATCTCTTCCCTCCCCCCATCACCCCCTCTTCTGAGGGTTGTTAGTTTGTACTCAACTTCCATGTCTCTGGGTCTACCCTATTCCTCAGACTGTTATGTTCATTGTATTCCACAGATAAGTGAGATCATGTGGTATTTGTCTTTTTCTGCTTGGCTTATTTCTCTTAGGATAATACTTTCCAGGTCCCTCCATGTCGTCTCAAAGGATAAGAGATCTTTCTTTCTTACAGCTGCATAGTACTCCATTGTGTATATGTACCACAGCTTCTTTATCCACTCGTCTACTGATGGACACTTGAGCTGTTTCCAGATCTTAGCTATTGTAAATAGTGCTGCTATGAACATGGGGGTACATATATTCTTTCTGATTGGTGTTTCAGGCTTCTTAGGGTATATTCCTACAAGTGGGATCACTGGGTCAAATGGCAATTCAATTTTTAATATTTTGAGGTAACACCATATTGTTTTCCACAGTGGCTGCACCAGTCTGTATTCCTACCGGCAGTGTACTAGAGTCCCCTAATCTCCACACCCTCGCCAACACTTGTTTGATGATTTGTTGATGGTGTCCATTCTGACAGGTGTGAGGTGATACCTCATTGTTGTTTTAATTTGCATCTCTCTGATGATTAGTGATGTTGGCATTTCTTCATATGTCTCTTGGCCATTTGTATGTCCTGTTTGGAGAAGTGTCTATTCAGCTCCTCTGCCCATTTTTTAATTGGGTTCTTTGTCTTCCTTTTGTTGAGTTGTATGAGTACTCTATATATTTTGGAAATTAACCCCTTATCTGATGTATCATTGGCAATGATGCTCTCTCATACAGTGGGTTGCCTTTCCGTTTTGATGG